ACCACCCTCCCGTGCCCTGTGGTCCCCTCTGGTGTCCTGCGCGGCCTCCACATCCCCTCGTTCACTCGGAACTTGGTGGGTGTTGGATACCTCCAGGACAGGGGGATCACGGTTACCTTCGTGGGGGGTGGGCGGACTGCAGTCTGTACAGACGCTACCACAGGTGCTGTCCTGGCCACGTTCACCAGGGAGCCCCGCTCCGGTCTCTACGTCCTCCACACCGAGCGCTCCCCAGTCGCGTCCTCCCCTCAGGTCGTTGCGTCCCCTCCGGCCCAGGTCCCCAGTCCAGTTGCTGTGTCTAGCCAGGTAGTAGTGTCCGGTCCGGTCGCTGTGTCCAGTCCAGTCGCTGCGTCTTGCTCCTGTCGCTCTCTCACCCACCGCACCGTCCTATGGCACCACCGCCTTGGCCACCCGTCGCTCCCTCGCCTACGTGGCATGCTCAGTCAGGGACTTGTCTCAGGTCTCCCACGCACCTTCCCGTCGCTCCCTCTCTCGCCTACCCCTCCTTGCTCTCCGTGCGTCGCCGGTCGCTTAGGCGCCACTCCCCACTCCTCCTCCCTTCGTCCGGCCACCGCTCCCTTCGAGACTCTCCACTTGGACGTCTGGGGCCCTGCCCCGACGCAGGGGTCTGGGAGGGAGCGTTACTTTCTGGTGGTCGTCGACGACTTCTCCAGGTACACCACAGTGTTCCCTCTTGCGAAGAAGTCCGAGGTGACTGCTACGCTGATCAGGTGGCTTCTAGCCACTGAGGGCACTCGTGGTCGTCGAGTCAGTTGTCTCCACTCCGACCGTGGGGGCGAGTTTCGCTCCGGCATTCTCGGCGGATTCTGCGGCGAACAGGGCATCACCCAGTCCTGGGCGCTGCCAGAGTCCCCACAGCAGAATGGGGTTGCTGAGCGCCGCATAGGCTTGGTCATGGACATCGCCCGCACGTCCATGATCCATGCCCGTGCGCCCCATTTTCTGTGGCCCCACGCGGTTCGCTACGCCGCACACCAGCTGAACCTCCAGCCGCGTGTCTCGCGGCCCGAGGTTTCACCGACCAGTCTTTGGACTGGTTCCCCTGGTGTCGGGTCGGCCTTTCGAGTCTGGGGCTGCCTTGCACTTGTTCGCGACACCTCCGCGGACAAGCTCTCGGCACGCGCCGTCCCCTGTGTCTTCCTTGGTTTCCCAGTGGACTCTGCCGACTGGTCCTTTTACCACCCTCCCCTCCACCAGTTCCTCGACTCCCGTGACGTCCGGTTTGACGAGTCCGTGTCCTACTACACCCGGTACCCCTGTCGAGGTCTCCCGGTACCCCCTCCCCCTCTTTTCCTCGCACCCTCTCCTCCTCCTGCTCCCGCTCCTCCGGTACCCCCGCCCCACCCTGGTCCTGCCCCGTCTGGTGTGTCCCACGTTACCCCTCTACCCTCGGTCGCGCGTCAGGTAGCGTCTCCCTCCCCGCAGTCCTCCTCACAGTCCCCTCAACAGCCTTCGGCACTTCCGCGACAAGTTACTGTGGACTCGGTTGGTGTTGGAGCTGGAGGTGCAGCCACTGGCGGTGCTCGGTCTGGGGGTACTCGGTCGCGGGGTGCTGGAGCTGGAGGTGCTGGCGCAGGTGGCGCTAGCTCTGGGGGTGCTGGAGCTGGAGGTGCTGGCGCAGGTGGCGCTAGCTCTGGGGGTGCTGGAGCTGGAGGTGCTGGCACTGGTGGTGCTAGTTCTGGGGGTGCAGGAGCTGGAGGTGCAGGCACTGGCGGTGCTAGTTCTGGGGGTGCTGGAGTTGGAGGTCCGGGCACTGGAGGTGCTGGTTCTGGGGGTGCTGAGTCTGAGGAGTCTGACCCTGGTTCTGCGGAGTCCACTCCGCCTCCCCACCGCCACGACACACGACTCCAGGCTGCCCGCCGGCGTGAGCGTGAGGAGCAGGAGCGGTTGGAGAGGGAGCGGCAGGAGCTGCGGGTGCTGGACCTTCTGGAGCAGCAGCGGCAGCAGCAGCAGCAGCAGCAGCAGCAGCCGCAGCAGCAGCCGCAGCAGCAGCAGCCGCAGCCACAGCCCCCGCCGCAGCAGCAGCAGCTGCAGCCGCCACCGCAGCTTCCTCTGGAGCGGCGGTTGTTCCCACCTGTGAGTGGCCTGCGGGCCCTTGGTTTTTCCTCCTCTCCTCCTGTCCGCTCCCAGTCTCCTCCTGTGTTTGTTCCTCCGTTGCCTCCTCCTGACGACCGTCCGGCGGTCTGGTCTTCTCCTCCTCCCCAGTCTCCTCCTCCTTCGGTCCGTCGCGACTTGGTCACTCGTTGTCCTCCGCGTGCTCGTCACTCGTCCCCTGTTACTGACCTCCACACTGCCCTCCTTTGTACGTCTCGTCGTCGTTCTCCTTCTCCTGTGTCCGTTCTCCCGTCTCCTCCTCCGTCCTCTCTCCCAGCCCTCCCCACTCCTATCACTGACTACTACCGCACTGTTCGTCCTGTTGCCGCACGTGTCCTCGCCACTCTTGTCACCGACTCTCGTTTCCCTCCGTCGTCGGTCTCTGCTCTTACTGCCGCTGTCGCTGAGTTTGCTGCCGCCAGCCGCCTTGACTACGCCACCCGTGTGGTGCCAGCTCCTCCCTACCGTCCTCTGTCCGTCGGGGGTGGGTTTGCCCTTGGCTGTGACGTTCTAGAGGACAGAGAGTCTGAGCTGGAGTACTGGGCAGCCGCTTCTCCCTCTGTGTGTGCCATGCTGCTCTCCCCTGAGGGAGACCCCGACGCCCTTGACACACCGACTCCTCGCACTTACCGCGAGGCAGTGTCAGGGGCGTGGGCCTCTCAGTGGAAAGCGGCTATGGACTCAGAGTTGGCGTCTTGGAGATCCACAGGCACCTACGTCGACGCAGTTCCCCCTCCCAGAGCGAACGTAGTCGATGGCATGTGGCTCTTCAAGGTGAAGCGGCCGCCTGGAGCACCACCGGTGTTCAAGGTGCGCTACGTGGCTAGGGGCTTCAGTCAGCGTGAGGGAGTTGACTTCTTCCAGACCTTCGCCCCGACCCCGAAGATGACTACTCTTCGGGTGTTACTCCACATAGCAGCGCAGCGAGACTACGAGCTGCACTCCCTCGACTTCTCCACTGCGTTCCTCCAGGGCCGACTGCACGAGGAGATCTGGCTGCGCCGTCCTCCTGGCTTCACTGACACCTTCCCACCTGGGACCCAGTGGAGCCTGAGGCGACCAGTCTACGGTCTCCGCCAGTCGCCCCGTGAGTGGCACGACACTCTTCGCTCCACGCTTCGTGACCTTGGGTTCAGCCCGTCCTCCGCCGACCCGTCGCTGTTTGTTCGAGCGGGTTCTACTCCTTTCTTTATCCTTGTCTACGTCGACGACTTGGTGTTTGCTACAGCAGACAGGGCAGCCCTGGCTCAGGTGAAGTCCGAACTGCAGAAGAGACACAAGTGCACTGACCTGGGTGAGCTGCAGCGTTACCTTGGCTTGCAGATCACCCGGGACAGAGCCGCTCGCACCATCACACTGACGCAGTCACACATGGTGCAGCAGGTCCTTCGGCGGTTCGACTTCCAGTTCTCCACCACTCAGCCCACTCCTCTTGCTGTTGACCACAGACTCACGGGCCCCTTTCCTGACGAGCCCTTTGAGTCCAGTGGACACTACGCAGAGCTGGTGGGCTACCTCATGTACCTGATGACTTGTACTCGACCGGACCTCGCCTTTCCCCTCAGCATCCTTTCTCGCTTTGTTGCGACTGGGAGACACCGCCCTGTCCACTGGACAGCTGCTGTGAGGGTGGCGAAGTACCTGGCGACTACATCAGGCATGGGGCTTGTGCTTGGAGGGACTCGGCCAGTGGCGTTGACTGGTCACTGTGACTCTTCCTACGCTGACGACGTGGAGACTCAGCGCTCGACTCAGGGTTACTGCTTCAGTCTGGGAGCTGGTGCTGTGTCGTGGAGGTCTACACGGTCGTCGTCTGTGGCTACTTCCAGTGCAGAGGCAGAGATCTACGCGGGTGCCATGGCGGCACAGGAGCTTCGCTGGTTGACCTTCTTGCTCGCCGACCTTGGTGAGCGGCCTCGCTCTGCACCGACCTTGTACGCTGACAACAAGACCATGATCCTCCTGTGTCGAGAGCCTCGACTGGAGAGCAGAGTGAAGCATATTGACGTGAGGTACTTCCTCCTGCGAGAGCTGCAGCGACGCGGCCAGGCACGCCTGGACTTTGTGGCCTCAGAGGCCAACACTGCAGACGTCTTCACCAAGGCCTTGGCGCTTGGTGACCATCACAGGTTCTGTGTGCAGTTGGGGCTAGTTGAGGTAGGCCCTCGGTTGCTGTAGTCCTGTTGCTTGCTCTGCTTGTTGTGCTTTGTATTTATATCCTAGTGAACTCTTGAACTGGCCTTGTGGCCGCTTGCTTGCGCTCGGAATTTGTGTGGTGTCCTTGAGATCCACCCTGAGCTTGTCTTGGTTCTTGCTTTGACTGGTCTTGTGACCGTTTGTTCACCTTGCTTGCTTTGATGCCCCTCACTTAGCCTATGGGGGTGTGTCAAATGTTGAACATTGATATGATAGGCTGTAGTGAGTTGCACTCTAGGGGGTACAGTTTCTAGGGTTGCTTATTTGTACCCCATTCGTTTCTATTCCAACCATTCCGTTGCTAACCACTCTTGAGATATCCCCCCTCCTTGCCCTAATCCACATCATTCCTTCCTACTGATCTCAACAAGCAAGTGAACATAAGGGAGCAGAACAGTTGACCACTTACTATGGGCTGCTCATATCGAAACAGGTTGGTACAGTTTCAAAAATACTAATCGAAGCTGGTAAACTAGAAGAACTGACTAGATAGGACAAGTTTCACTGAGAGGGAGTGCTAGAAATACTGCTTACTTTCCCTTCAGGAGCCCCAGCCCATGGAGGCTAGCCAATGGTGCGGGCCATGTCTAAGGGGCAAAACAAGCAACACCTGACGGCAGTGAGCTCAATCAGCTTCCATGCAACTGCTGTGCGACAAGAGTGGTGTAGCAGCGTTGCAGGAGTGGTGATTATGGAATGGTGACGGAGAAGAGCAGTGAGTCCTCCTTCAGCTGCAGCCCTGCCGACCCCCTCACCCTGCAGCTTGCCAGTGGCCCACCACTCCCTGTTGCTGCCAGCGCCCTTCTCACTGCTGCCTGCTGCTCCTCTGACAGAGACCGCCTTGGCCAATCAACAAAGGACACATCAAGATGAGTCAGAGTGCACGGAAGATGAGTCAGCGAATGCTCAGTGGGGCCGAAAACGGCATCGAAGTCGCAGTGCGGCACGGAGAGCAGGTTGAGGCAGGCCACGGAAGGAGGCAGCGACTGGAAGAGGTGTGGCAGGTGCGAGGGCGGGGCGGAGGCAGCGGTGGCGGCAGGGCCGTGGTGCAGCAGATACTCCATGGTGCGGCGCATGAGGAACGAGGGGTCGTTGGCTATCGTCACACTCTGACCACCACCGCGCAGGACAAACGAGGCACAGCGGGATTCAGAGACAGGGAAGAAAACAGTGGGGGGGTGCAGAAACGGGAGGTGGGGGTGGAAGGGACAGAGAGTGGTCGGCATTGGCCAGGGGCCAAGCAAAAGCCAGAGTGATGGTACAGCCCAAGGTCTCATACCACGGAGAAAGGAAATAGGTGGTTGAAGGGCGCATCTGTTGACAAACAGAGAACAGCCCATCCATGAGCACAGCACATGGTCGATACTTCTCGTACCGGTGGCACCGTGAAACCGAAATTAAACTCTGCCATCCATACGCCACACTCCTAACACCACCCCCAAATCCCCCAAGCTGCACACACTGCATGCCGCGAAGATAATGCGATGGTGTGGTACCTGCAGCCTGGGCAGGTGCGTGAGGAGCGCGGCAGCGAAGGGCACACAGGAGGCGGTGGCGTAGGACAGGTGCACCGTGTGCAGCGCTGGCAGCAGCGCCGCCAGGTGCTGCCATGGCCGCACAGTGCAATGCAGTGGAGGGAGAAGAAGAGGGAGGAAAGGGAAGGGAATCCGAGAGTGGGAGGGGGACAGACGGCACCAGAAAGAAGCAGAGGAATGATTGGTGAAGAACGGGTGGAGAGGAAGGGGAAGCAGACACGGCATGAGAGCACAGAAATGGCAAGCGCCGGCACACAACCCATTTCACTTTCCGTAAAACACCAAGCTATAACCCATTATGATTCTTCCATCACAATCACAACCAATCTTTCCTCCAGCCCTTCCCACACCCCCCCCCCCCCGTCCCCCGCCCGTGCCCCTTCTGCCCATGACGCATCGCCACGAACCTGCAAGCGCCTGGCAGTTGCCGCGCGCCACTCGCCCTCATCCGCGTCCGCGCGGGCAGCAGCGCCCTCCCCCTGCGCGTCGCCTGCCAGCGCCACGTGCACACTCGCCTCCTGCAGCGCATACGGGCGCTGTGACGAGAGCAGTGCGGGCAGACTGGCGCGAGGGGAAAGGAGAAAGGGGGCACGGTTGAGGGGTCGGAGAGTTGCGCGCGGACATGCATTGAAAAGGAAGGCGTGGCAAAGTCACAACACAGGAACAGGAAGGGAGGGAGGCACTCAAGGCGGGGGAGAGTGTGGGAAGCGCGGCGGACCTTTCATCGGTGAGCACGAGGCGGGACGACAGCGAGGAGAGCTGCGGGCAGCTCTGCAGCAGCAGCAGCGGCTGCTGCGCCGCATGCCACGGCGAGCCCGGGCCGCTGCCCCCGATGCTGCGGTGGTACAGCGAGCGCGCGGAGTAGCGGCGCAGGCTGGGGCACAGGCGCGCCACCATCGCCATCTCCTGCACGCACCAGTCACACGGGGGGCGGGGGGGAGGGGTTGCGGGGGGTAATTGGGGTGAGGTTGGAAGTTGATGCGGTTGAGAGTGGGGATGTGCGGGTGTGCAAGTGAGGGGGAGTAGTGTGCGAGGAACGCGAAGCAGCTACGAGGCAGCATGGCAGCGACGGTCTCCCCCTCCCCTCGACCGCCTCTCCCTGCCACAACAGCGCCATGCCATGCGCCCCACTCTCAACCCTTCCCCTCCGCCTGTCCCTCCGCGCGCCCAGCGCCCGCGCTCACCATGACGGGGTCCTCCAGCGGCCATATCTTCACGGCCGCGTCGCAGTCCACCACCAGCTCCTCCACGTGCTTCCCGTGACACGTCAGCAGCTTCTCCAGCCACGTGGCGTGCACGAGGACGTCCATGGGCCGCGGGTGCGACTTGCCGTACAGCAGGTTCAGCAGCAGGCGGTCGCTGCCGCCCAGATGGTGCGCGTGCGCGGGGAATCGCGCAAGCACCGTGGATTCGACCTGCGGGCTGCGCGGACAGGGAGGCGAGCGGAAGAAGGGCGTAAGAAGAGGGGAGGGAGGGATGAAGCGAGTCAGAAGGGTCGACGGCGGCGCGAGGAATAGCGGCGTGGGATGCGCAAACGGGAGGGTCGACGATGAGCGACTAGCAGAGGGTGGCCGCGCGGGGGGGCAGGAGGGGGGACCGTTGGGGGGGGGGGATGGTGTGTGGACGGCAAACGGGAGGGGAAATGTCGGCACCGGGAATCACAACAGTCGAGCACCGCTGGGAGAGGAGCAAGGGGCGGGGAGGGAAAGGAGCGGGGAATGTGGGGGAGGATGGTGAGGCGGCAGCACCTGTACTTGGCGGCCATTTGGCACCGTCGGATGGCGTCAGGGCACCAGAAGGAGTGGTGCGCGAATGCGCCCAGGGAGAAAACGACGCGTCGCAACGTCGCACGTCGCAGGCGGTGCAGAAGGATGTCGCAAAGCGCCGGGTCGACCCAGGCGAACTGCGTCATGTCCAACTCGTCGACGCTCTGCGAGGGACGACAGGCCACGAACGGGGCTGTTGGGCAAGTCAGCATGGCGCCGCGGCGTGGGCTCGAATGCACGAGGTGCCGACGCAGATTGCGGGAAATGGAACGGGCGTTGGCGGCGAAAGCGTACCGCGAAGAGATCGTCGGAGAGGGCGGCCATGGCCTTGCACGAGCACACGAGCGACGCGAGGTCGCGGAACGAAAGGCGACGCACGATGCTGTGGAGCAGCGGCTCTGGGAGGCCATGCAGTAACGCGGCTATGACGCTGCTGCCTGGTGAATCCGCGGAAAATGCACTTCCCCCCATGGGACAAGCGGCAGTTAAGGCAGTACAAGCCCGCGAGACGTCTCTGAATAAAGTGGATGCAAATTCGGCCTGTTAAGAACGAAGGAGCTGCGCGTCTTGACAATAGTTACTCGGGCGAAATTCGGAAGAAGAGTTGCGGAGGTCGGCCCGAAGTAAGTACGAGACGATATTAGTTGTGGAAAGCGGTAAGGAAAAAGAGTGTTATAGGTCCTTACAGCAGAGGACACAGTGAGAAGCTGAGGGATGCGTAATATGAGCACTTCGAATGCTAGCGCAGCACTCGTCTCCCCTGCGACCACGAGACGAAACGTGTAGTGAATGCGATTTGGGAGCAGGGAGGGAGGAAGGGGAAAGCGAAAGGAATGGGCGAGGCAGGGGGCTGACAGATCATGTCGCACCATGTGTAGGGCGTGTTTATGATCCTGGATTGCTACGGCAAAAGCCCAAGTCGCAACGTCGGGCCTTTGTTGTCGAACCTAAGTGGTATCATTTGTTCCCCGTTCATTTCATGGCGGGTACAAAATTAACGTCCTTCCAACACCCCCTCCGTTGTCCTGTCACTTGCTGGAGATGCGATGCGTTCGGCCTGTGTGGTGCTTGGTTCTATGTCCTCCGATTGGTCGGACGGGAACGATCAGGATTCATTGGCTGAGGGAAGCATCCAGCAGTGACGGAAGAGGAGGCAGTGAACAAGTGACATATATCTGTGACTCAGACGAGAGCCAGGCCAACGAATCGACTAATCCGCAGTACACACGCAAGCGATGTAGGCACGAAGATAAGGCGAGCCCCTGTCCCTTCATACGTGGCGGCAGCCAGATTGGCCAGAGTGGCAACGTCACGAGGCTGTAGTCCAATGGTAGCCGTTAATCCTATCACGTGACCACGAACCCCCCCTTCTCTAGAAGAGATTCGGTTTGGAGATTCACCATAAGCAGCCTTAAATGCCTCATTTAGGTTTGTAAAGGCACAATACACTAACAGCGATCACCGCATTAGCACTAATCACTGTAATATTACCACCAAAACCAGGGCATTTCTTTTCAGGGAGATTTCAGACTAGTACGCGATAGTGGTCTTACAGTTCAGACAAGCGAATCTCAACTTGTCTGATTATCAGAGTTGCTCAAATAATTAATGTCTGAAATTCAGACACAGAAAAATTGGAACCCTGAAAATTCAGACGAAGGCCTAAAACCAGGTCTGTACATAAGAGAATCAGACCGTTTTGGTCTGGAAAAAATAGGCCAACACTGACTGTACCGCGAATTGTATATGAGTGAAGGACACAACACAAAGTCCGGAGTATTTTGCTGACTCCGTGCCATGACTCAGCTGGCTTGCAAGTTCATATGTATTCTCAAATGCAAGCTGGTACCGGTAAAAGAATACAAAGTTATCTATCAGGTCACATGCAGGTCATATCTTGCAAGCAACTAGAGTCTTTGGGATGGGCTTTGTCTTTTGGGTCTCCTTGGTGCTTCTGAAGCGTCTGCACCTTGAAAACTATGTAGAGCCTCTCCTCCTCTTCAACTGTCCACGCACAGCACCATCAGCGTACTTCTTGGTGTGAATATTCCCATAAAACATACGAGGAGCCGCGACAATAGCCTTCAGCGCAGCCTGTAGCTCTGGAGTACTTTCGCCAGTAGCCTTCCCCAGGGAACCCGCGCAACGCCAGTAGTTTCGTTTATTGTACTGCTTGTATACGCACGGCAGGTTCACCAACAGGTCGCCGTTCATGCCTTTGGCACCCGCGTGGATATGCGTCTTAGTAGGGGGCATCTCGCCTTGCAAGAGGGCCACGCGAGCCACGAAAGTGAGCCACGTGTAGGCGCCTTTGCCGTCACTGTGGTGGGCCGATTCAAGCACAAACACGGGTATGGCCAGCAATTGGGGGCTCAGGACATGGATGCTGACGGAAAAGGCGAAAACTTCAAAGTGTGAAGCATGCGATGTAATCCAACAGCGAGCTCACTCGTAAATGGTGAGCAGCATGGTGGCGCGGCCCTGCATGTCGCCCACGGCATCCCTGGCGACCTTGGTGCTGTTCTTGGGGATCTCGTTGCTGCCCAACAGATTCGACGACAGCACCACTGGGGCTGCGCACATGGACCAAGGGAATCCAGAGCGGGCGGCAGGCAGGCGGGAGGTTGAAATCAGATGCGGATGGTGGCGTCGTGAGCTGGAACCAACGAGGAACTCCAGAGTCTAGAAGCGCGCAACGGGTTGCATGTGTGGAGTGGAAAGGTGCAGAGACACTTACAATATCTGTCCGCGCACGCAGTTGCCACAAGAATTGAGAACGCCACTGCATTGCAAGCATTGGCACAGCGGAGAGGCAAGGAAGAGACAGTCAGTACACGCCGGGAAGAGCGGTGTGATACTAAACAGCTAGACTGCCGAAGCTGGCAGTGGAAGTAAGATCTGCGTGTGGCGAGACTTGAAAGCAATGAACACTAAACCAACGAAAGGAGATAACTACGAAAAATCTGGAAAAGATGTAGCGGCCGGCGGGGATTACCAGCTACGGGGACAAAGTGCGAGGAGCGAACAGCCATGGTTGTCAGTCGTAGGGGGCAGCAAGGGAATATGATGAAAGCGAAAGGGCCCGTGTGGAATATGTACACACGGGTGGTGCAAGGCGCGCGTCATGAGGGAATTGATGCCGACGTTTGACGTGGGGACTGGAGTGACGGTTCGAGCCTAACGTGAACAGTGTACACGACGGATGCAGTGCGATGAAAGTGCTTCGACTGATGAAGGCTGCTACAGGCAGCAACTGTGAAATTATCATTTTTGGGTCTGCCACAACGGGAGCTGGAGCTTGTGGAACTGCGGCGCGTGTAGAAGAAGAGCAGGAAGGGGTGTTGTTCAGTGCCCACCGTGCTGTTTGGTAAGAAGGGACGCACGCATGACCAGTCCAGTGCGTCAACGATTCTGCGACCTTGTGCACGACGGGACCGCATGAGAGCTCCTTCAATCACAATTTCGAAAAAATCTGATTCCACACCCAGGGCGACTCCACCCCACACCACCCCTTGCCGTATTGCTCGTTGGAGCCGCCCGGGCTGTCCCCAACGGACATCTGTAAATCGTTGCAGGTATCTGTAAAGGTTCAAACATTGATGTTTAATAACTTACCATTTTTGGGTTGCGTAGCAACCCTATATAATTGGTTTCACTTTTTGGGGATATCATTTCAAGAGTTGTTTTCATCACTTTTTGGAGCACCAGCTTGAACATTTTTGCACCTTGTTCAAGAGAATGCCTCAAATAGTGGATAAAAATCACTCATGAATGAAATATCCCAAAAGTGAAACCAATTATGTATCATGTTGAAACCATGAATTTGTTCCGAACGTCCCAGCATCGTCGATTAATACGGCGGATGGTACGATCGAACATGGCATCAACATGTGCAAATGCGCTTGTACAAAGTAACACGGTATGAAGTGTAATGCGGATGTTTCAAGGAATGTTATATTGTATCAATGTAGCAACAGAGATTGATGTGGCAGTTGAAACAACGAATACACGCTGCCCCAACGACGATGACAACCTCTAGTTGCATACACGATGCAATGTAACACCTTGCCCTGTGTTACAATCCCAAGTGGGACTTAGCAAAGGATCGCTCAGGGTTGATCGCAGAGTAGTGTTGCAGCGGAAGTTTGAATCTCAGGTCAGAGTGAATGTAAATGACTGAGTTGATAAAAGCATGCATACATCGGGTTTATATAAGAGTACAGGGGAATACGAAAAGACCTAGACTAACCATGTACTCTAAGGGGTACATTCCCTTATTCTAACCAATTTCGAACCGTGCGGCGCGGGAACCCGTTTCAAAACCGGTTCCCGATCTTTTCACTTCAAATGTTTCTGCCTGCATCGGTCTTGGTCAGACGGTTGCTGCGTCGCTTCGACTCTTCTGACTCCTCGACTTCGTACTCGGTAGAGTCGGCTCCTGCAGCATAAAGGAATGCCTACTCATGTAATTTCATATCGTAACACTCCCCTTCATTCCTGGGCGCAGGAGGAGCTGACTCGCTTGACTACTCCGGTGAGGTCAGAGCAATGTTTGTACTGCTGACGTGGCAGGCGCTTGGTGAGGAAGTCTGCTGCCATCTCGGTAGTCGGGCAGTAGGCGAGGTCAACTTTTCCTTGGTCAATTTCGTCCTTGACGAAAAAGTACCGAAGTGCGATGTGCTTCATGCGGTTCACGAAATCTGGCTTGTTCGCGATCCTGATGGCACTCTGGTTGTCGCAGTGGAGGCGAAAGGTAGGCGAAGTCGGGATTTTCGCCTCCTGTAGCAGCTCCTGCAGGTACAGGCCTTCGCGAACTGCTGCTGTCGCGGCGATGTATTCTGCTTCAGCCGATGACAGGGCAACCAGCTCCTGCTTCTGCGAGTTCCAGCAGATTGGCCCAGTTGGTTCCAAGCGAAAAACGAAGCCGGTTCGGGACCGTCGATTTGCAGGGTCAGCTGCATGATCTGCGTCCACGTAGCCGTTGAGGCTGAAGGAGGTGGTCGTCAGCGTGGAGTAGGAGAGCCCAATGTCAGGTGTGGAGATGAAGTACTGCAGGGCGCGCTCCAGGTCCAGCTGGTTCTCAGATACCGGCTTGCGGGAATACTGTGCCAGTTGGCTAGCGATGTACGAGAGGTCGGGGCGGCAGGTGACAGAGGCGAATAGCAGGCACCCCAACTTCTGCTGGTACATTTGGAGTCCTGCGGGTGACAGTGGTTTGTTGCCCGGTTTGTAGTTGGCGCTGGGGTTGCGGTAGGGAGTTGAGAGTGGTGCGGATGAGATGATGAAGCGTTCCCCCAGTTGCTCTGCGTACTTTGAGGCTGACAGGTGAATTGCTTCTGGCGCGTAGGTGATGTTCAGCCCCAAAAACTGCTTCACGTTGTGGTTGATGGTGATGTCCACGCGCTGCGCCAGGTTCTCCTCAAACTGGTTAAGGAGTTTGTTGCAGGTGCCCGTGTACAGCAGATCGTCGACGTAGACTGTCAGGAGGATGTAATCGCCGCTAAAGTGAAGGCGATACATTCCCGGGTCGTGCGGCAGCTGCTTGAAACCGATCTCCAGGAGAATTTTGTGCAGATGCTGCTGCCAGAGACGAGGCGCCTGCTTGATCCCGTAGAGGGACTTCTTCAGCTGACAGACCCTGGGATCCCCTTCTCCGTAGGTGTGAGGCTGCTCCACGAAGATGGTGGCGTCCACCAACGCGTATAGAAACGCGTTCTTCACGTCGATCTGTCGCAGTGGTAGGTGCTTAGCGGCGGCAATGGCGAGTAGAATCCTGATGGAGGTGTGACGACTGACGGGAGCGAAGGTCTGGTCGAAGTCGATGCCGTGGCGCTGATCGTACCCACGTACGACCCAGCGTGCCTTGAATCGCTCGATGGTTCCGTCAGAGTTAGTCTTCAGGCGAAAAACCCATTTTCCGCTGAGCACCCTCCTCCCCTTCACTGCTGCACGATCGACTAGGACCCATGTGTCTCGAGATTCCAGCGCTTTCAGCTCCGCATCCATTGCTGCACGCCACTCCTTGGCGTGCGGGCCGGTCAGGGCCTGGCGAGGATTCTTTGGCTCCACGGCCCGTGCAAGAGTAGTGACGGACGTGTGCAGGCCGAGTAGTTGCAGGCCGGACACATTGGTGGTGTCTGTGTTGGTGGGAACTTCCACCACGTCATCATCTCCGCTTTTGTAGCCGGGCGTTGTGGTGCTTGCCTCTGCTTGGCGCCGTGACGGACCTGGCGCGGGATCGTCGTCACTGTCATCGTCGTCGTCGTCACGGGGGCGAGGCGGGATGCTGGGGCGTTCGTCGGTGTCGTCGCGGTCCAGTGCTGCTGCTGCTGCCTCGTCGTCTGGAGTCGCAAAGCTGCGACCGCTGTTGACTTAGCCGCGTGCCTCGTTCCGTCGCTCGTCCTCGATCCATTGCTTCAAGGTGAGCCGCTCGTAGAAGAGAATATCACGTGCGGGAACAACCTCCTTGCTATTCATGTCGAGGATAAGCCAGCCTTTGTGCTCATTACCGAGGCCCAAATGAACCCCCCAGCGCGCGCGGTGAGCAAACTTGCCGATGGTGGCCGATGTAGGCCGGTACTGCACCATACACCCCCAGACCCTTAGCATGGAGGGGTCTCCGCTTGAGCCGGTCCACTTCATGTGAGGGGACAGGTTGTCCCTGTTGGCGGTAGTGGAGAGGAGGTTGTGCAGGCGCACCGCGTGGTTCATGGCGTAGGGCCAGAATTTCTTCGGCAGGCCGGACTGGTTCATGAGGGCGCGCACTTTTGTCATGAGGGTGCGGTTAACCCTCTCTGCGACGCCTTGCTGCTGGTGAGCGTAGGGGAGAGAAACCTCATGCTTGATCCCCTTCTCGGTAAGAACACTCTCCAGCTCGTTGCTGCGGAATTCCTTGGCCCCATCACTCTGCCAGATCTTCAGCTTCCTTCCTGACTGTCGCTGCGCGTGCGCGAGGAAGATGCAAAATACTTCCGGAGCCTTGGAGCGAGCGTCGACGTTGGCGATCCACACATGGCGCGAGTAGGCGTCAATGAAGGTGAGGGTATATTTCTCGCCGTTGATGCCGTCGAAGGTGAGCACAATGAAATCGCTGTATACTTTCTCCAACTTCTTGTAGCGGTTGGTGCTCGGCTCCAGGGAGGGGTAGGCGCTGTGGGAGAGAGCAGCTGTGGGGCAGACAGTGCAGGTGACTGGGTGAGGGGTGTTGTGTGGTTCTGTTCCGTCGGGGCGCAGTAGGGCTCCTGGCGGAAAAACTTTAGCGCGGAGGCAGTTGGCGAGGGTCTGGCGCGAGGGGTGTCCCAGCCGCTGGTGCCAGAGATCATCTTCGGCGCGAATACCGGAAGTGCGCTTGTAGCGAGCGAAGTGTTCTGCCGCTTCTGCCTCCGTGACTTGCGGGATCTGGAGTGGGGGTTCTTCCTCTTCTCCTGGTTCCGCTTCATTGTCCGGCTCCTCTGCTTCTGCTTCTGCTTCCCCCGTTGTCTCCCCTTCTGCAGGTGCCGTTGTGAGGTAGAGGGCGAGAAATTCGCGGTCGGGGATGATAGTGAGCGGAGTCGTGGTGCCCTCAATGAATCGGGCGAAAGGATCTGGGCGGGAGATTGGACCAAGTGAGTCCCGCGGAGGAGTTGGTGGTACATTCCCCTCCTCAGTCTCCGACCAACGATCACGCCACCGATAGGGGGAGGAGGGAGGTGAGCGGGTGCGCGGGGGTCGACCGAGTGGAATGGCGACACGAGGGGATGGTTCTCCACGCTCAGCTTGCATCTCGCGTTCTATCCCTTCTTCTTCTTCTTCTTCTTCTTTGGTGAGCGGAGCGTTCGCGTATTCGTCTGCTCCCCATTCGCCGGTGTTACCCCATCCTCCCGTGGTGAACGTGCCGCTGGCGCTGGCTCCCCATGCTCCAGTGGCGGATCCCCAGGTCGCGCCTTCTTCTGGTTCGTAATCTTCATCTCCCCATGCGCCTCGTCGTGCTGACTCCTCGTCCCATCCAGCCGCGACACGTTCCTCAAACAGTTTCTGTTTCTTTTCCGCCCGG